TAACTCTGAAATCTCCCAAACTATGTGGATCAAAAAGGTTATAACCAAGTGTTGTTGAAGTAGAAGGTTTAATCTAGTGGACTGGAAAGAATATGGCACTAACTGCATCTCTACAAACATATGTATTGCGCTGGTCAGTTTGGTCGGGATGCGCGCCTGTAGTGCAGGTACCATGTACGACTAGAATGTCTATATATGCCAAATTACATAGATCCGATAGGTTAAAACAAGGTAGAGGGGGTGGGGAATGATATAATTTAAAGGAAATGGGAATACATATATGGTATTTGTTGTATTTGTATAGAAAGAATGATGCGTCCGATGGTAAGGTCAGTATGCACGCTTGTGTGTAGGTACAAGGCGGAACTGTAACTCTAAAATCTCCCAAACTATGTGGGTCGGAAAGGTTATAACCAAGTGTTGTTGAAGTAGAAGGCCTAATCTAGTGGACTGGAAAGAATATGGCACTAACTGCATCTCTTTAAACATATGTATTGCGCTGGTCAGTTTGGTCGGGATGCGCGCCTGTAGTGCAGATACCATGTACGACTAGAATGTCTATATCTGCCAAATTACATAGATCTGATAGGATAAAACAAGATAGGGGGGTGGGGAATGATATAGTTTAAAGGAAATGGGAATACATGTATGGTATTCGTTGTATTTGTATAGAGAGAATGATGCGTCGGATGGTAAGGTCAGCATGCACGCTTGTGTGTAGGTACAAGGCGGAACTGTAACTCTGAAATCTCCCAAACTATGTGGATCGGAAAGGTTATAACTAAGTGTTGTTGAAGTAGAAGACCTAATCAAGTGGACTGGAAAGAATATGACACTAACAGCATCTCTACAAACATATGTATTGACTGGTCTGTTTGGTCGGGATGCGCGCCTGTAGTGCAGGTACCATGTACGACTAGAATGTCTATATCTGCCAAATTACATAGATCTGATAGGTTAAAATATGATGGGGGGGTGGGGAATGATATAATCTAAAGGAAATGGGAATACATATATGGTATTCGTTGTATGTGTACAGAGAGAATGATGCGTCGGATGGTAAGGTCAGTATGCACGCTTGTGTGTAGGTACAAGGCGGAACTGTAACTCTGAAATCTCCCAAACAATGTGGATCAAAAAGGTTATAACCAAGTGTTGTTGAAGAAGAAGGCCTAATCTAGTGGAATGGAAAGAATATGGCACTAACTACATCTATACAAATATATGTATTGCGCTTGTCAGTTTGGTCGGGATGCGCGCCTGTACTGCAGGTACCATGTACGACTAGAATGTCTATATCTGCCAAAGTACATAGATCCAATAGGTAAAGACAATGTAGGGGGGTGGGGATGGTATAATTTAAAGGAAATGGGAATAAATATATGGTATGTCAGTAGATCTGCACTGTGGATGCCCGATTGATCTTGGAGAGGGTTACAGGCGCGTTCGCCTGGGGGGTTATGGGCGCACTGACCCGCTACTGAAACAAGCCCTTTTATCCCAATGGTCTAGTGGTTGGGATTCTGACATGGTATCAGAGCGGTCTCGGGTTCGATTCCCGGTGTATGCACATGTAGGCCGTTGCCGCTGTGCTTAGTCCTTGGGCCTCCCAGTGTGGGGGGGTGTTAGTAGATCTGCACTGTGGATGCCCGATTGATCCTGGAGAGGGTTACAGGCGCGTTCGCCTGGGGGGTTATGGGCGCACTGACCCGCTAGTGAAACAAGCCCTTTTATCCCAATGGTCTAGTGGTTGGGATTCTGACATGGTATTCGTTGTATTTGTACAGAGAAAATGATTCGTCGGATGGTAAGGTCAGTATGTACGCTTGTGTGTAGGTACAAGGCGGAACTATAACTCTGAAATCTCCCAAACTATGTGGATCGGAAAGGTTATAACCAAGTGTTGTTGAAGTAGAAGGTTTAATCTAGTGGACTGGAAAGAATATGGCACTAACTGCATCTCTACAAACATATGTATTGCGCTGGTCAGTTTGGTCGGGATGCGCGCCTGTAGTGCAGGTACCATGTACGACTAGAATGTCTATATATGCCAAATTACATAGATCCGATAGGTTAAAACAAGGTAGGGGGGTGGGGAATGATATAATTTAAAGGAAATGGGAATACTTTTCTGGTATTCGTAGTATTTGTACAGAGAGAATGATGCGTCAGATGGTATGGTCAGTATGCACGCTTGTGTGTAGGTACAAGGCGGAACTGTAACTCTGAAATCTCCCAAACTATGTGGATCGGAAAGGTTATAACCAAGTGTTGTTGAAGTAGAAGGCCTAGTCTAGTGGACTGGAAAAAATATGGCACTAACTGCATCTCTACAAACATATGTATTGCGCTGGTCAGTTTGGTCGGGACGCGTGCCTGTGGTGTGTTGACCACTAATTGGGATCTAGAGACTCTTAAGCACACCTTTTATACACTCTAGGTAGCCCCCACGGGGTCACCTCCAAGGGTCCTCGGGTGCCTGGCAACGCCAGCCCCAAACCAAGGGTCCGTGTTTGTAGAGGGATTTTCCTTAGTGTAAAAACGGTCGTGTGCACTAAGAGCATTCCCAAGCTTAATTGCGCAGTGTTAACGAACGATATGTGCGTGTGCAGAAAAGCTCCTGGCGTCAATACGCCGATAGAGCAATTTTCATTCACGAAAGGATTGATTACAACTTCGCACAAGCATGCAAATATAGTTGGCCTAACACACATGCAAAGGAAAATAGCAAACAGTTGATAAACTGCATTTCTAGGACTTCGCCTTGCTGTCTCGAAAAAACGGTTGCCAAACTTCTGCTCCATTTGGCTTGATCCGAGTCCTTGGAATAACTGTGGTCAAGTTACATGTCTGCCAATTGCCCCTGCTGACTCCTCTCGCGAACGTTCATGAACGCACAAGTAGAATCATGAACGCTCGTGTGGGAATTCCAGTTTTCCCACTGTTTACAGTTGTAAAACGGATATTTCTGTTTTGTACCTGTAATTCGAACCGTTCTGTTAGGCGCGCTGCTTTCTCGCGAAAGTTCTATGTGCCACGTCACAAAAAGACACGCTCGAGATTCAGTTTTACAACTGAAATCTCGAGTGAATCCCGAGCACCCCTCGGGATCTCTCGGCACCTCTCGCAACCCATGCGCACCCCTGAGGGCGCGCCGTCCTGACGTGGGCAGGGCGATAATTATCGCCCTGTCTTGTAGCGATCGTGGGCCTTGCCACGCCTACTACAGTTCGTAGGCATACGCGCGGGCACTGTGAGACCACACGCGAAATCAGGACCCACGCGCGGTCCTGATTCTCTCGTGATTCTCGCTTGACCAGTGCGAGATATTTCGAGGGGCACAAAACACCCTCGCTCCCCTCATGAACACAAGAACCAAAACAGAAACAAACATGAATGAAACACAAACAGATGAGCAAACATGAACGCACATGAACGAACATGTAAACACATGAACGCTCATGAAGCTTGCACGAACAGCACGCAAATTGACATGAACGCGCGAAGGCTCATGAAAGCACATGATCACTCGGAGCTTCACGCACATTCATGACACGACACAAACAACACGAAATTCACACGAACAATCATGAAAACGCATGAATGGAACCTCACGCAAAAATGCACATAACTTATGAACCGCTAAGGCGATTCATAAACCGTAAACGCCAAAATGAAAATCACACAAATGCGCATTCCAAACCACACAAAATACCTCAAAACAAATACCTTCAAATTTCACATCACTTGACGAATAGGCGACAGGTTGACGTGCAAAATACGTTTTGCACCCAACATGGTGCAGGTACCATGTACGACTAGAATGTCTATATCTGCCAAATTACATAGATCTGATAGGTTAAAACAAGGTAGGGGGGTGGGGAATGATATAATTAAAAGGAAATGGGAATACACATATGGTATTCGTTGTATTTGTATAGAGAGAATGATGCGTTGGATGGTAAGGTCAGTATGCACGCTTGTGTGTAGGTACAAGGCGGAACTGTAACTCTGAAATCTCCCAAACTATGTGGATCGGAAAGGTTATAACCAAGTGTTGTTGAAGTAGAAGGCCTAATCTAGTGGACTGGAAAGAATATGACACTAACTGCATCTCTACAAACATATGTATTGCGCTGGTCAGTTTGGTCGGGATGCGCGCCTGTAATGCAGGTACCATGTACGATTAGAATGTCTATATCTGCCAGATTACATAGATCCGATAGGTTAAAACAAGGTAGTGTGAAAATATTAGGTGTGGGGCCTAGGCTTAGTAGCCTAGGCCCACACTAGGAGGTAGGTGAGTTCGAGTGAGTTTCTCCTAGGGGAGAGTATCGAGAGATTTGGAAGGGAAGGAAAAAGGGTGTGACTAGCAAGAGTTGGGATACACAAATAGAAAACCCTAAAGGGTTGTACTCAGTATTGAGCACCCCAATGCAGGCTAGACAAATAACATTCTGACACACCCCCATAGCCAAAGTGGGGTGTAATCAGCAGAGCAGGCAAAGTAGTACAAGCTCAGGGTGGATCACAATGTCACCACACATTCTGAGCACAAGTTAAAGAAGCAATAGTTTAAAGTTAAGAATTATGAGCAAAGCTAGTGGTAGTCACAACGGGCAAGTGAGGAGGAGGAGAGAGAGTGAGGGGAGAGGAGATAGGAGGAGACGGCTGAAGCTGCAGACACACGGGCAACAGGAGGCAGATTGGCACAGCGGCTACCGGACAGCGCCCGGACTACAGGAGTAACAGGCCCCGCGGCTCAAGCAGCGGCAGACGGGCAACGGACCCACGGGCGGCTGGCGTAGAAGTCTAGCTCACTGGGCTACCGGGACAGCGCCCCGGACTACAGGTGCTGCGGACTACAGGACGGCAACTTCCATGCAGCTTCCCCAAACAGTCCCACCCCCCCTGACACACACCCGCTGCTACACCGCTAGCTCCACTCCCACGCACCCCCCTTAAACCCTAAACCCCAGTCTCCCACACAACCACCCCCCTCAGCGACAGCTGCAGCAGTGGGAGACGAAGGAGGAGGAGGAAAGGGAGGAATGCACACCAGCCACCCCCATACCTGGAAACGGGGGCGCAGACAGTACCAGAGCGCACTAGGCACGGGCAGCAACAGGCACGGGCAGCACAGGCACGGGCAGCACAGGCACGGGCAGCAACAGGCACGGGCAGCACAGGCACGGGCAGCACAGGCACGGGCAGCACAGGCACGGGCAGCACAGGCACGGGCAGCACAGGCACGGGCAGCAACAGGCACGGGCAGCACAGGCACGGGCAGCAACAGGCACGGGCAACACAGGCACGGGCAGCACAGGCACGGGCAGCAACAGGCACGGGCAGCACAGGCACGGGCAGCACAGGCACGGGCAGCAACAGGCACGGGCAGCACAGGCACGGGCAGCAACAGGCACGGGCAGCACAGGCACGGGCAGCAACAGGCACGGGCAGCACAGGCACGGGCAGCACAGGCACGGGCAGCACAGGCACGGGCAGCACAGGCACGGGCAGCAATAGGCACGGGCAGCACAGGCACGGGCAGCAACAGGCACGGGCAGCACAGGCACGGGCAGCACAGGCACGGGCAGCAACAGGCACGGGCAGCACAGGCACGGGCAGCACAGGCACGGGCAGCAACAGGCACGGGCAGCAACAGGCACGGGCAGCACAGGCACGGGCAGCACAGGCACGGGCAGCACAGGCACGGGTAGCACAGGCACGGGCAGCAACAGGCACGGGTAGCACAGGCACGGGCAGCACAGGCACGGGCAGCACCGGCACGGGCAGCAACAGGCACGGGCAGCACAGGCACGGGCAGCACAGGCACGGGCAGCAACAGGCACGGGCAGCACAGGCACGGGCAGCACAGGCACGGGCAGCAACAGGCACGGGCAGCACAGGCACGGGCAGCACAGGCACGGGCAGCAACAGGCACGGGCAGCACAGGCACGGGCAGCAACAGGCACGGGCAGCACAGGCACGGGCAGCACAGGCACGGGCAGCAACAGGCACGGGCAGCACAGGCACGGGCAGCACAGGCACGGGCAGCAACAGGCACGGGCAGCAACAGGCACGGGCAGCACAGGCATGGGCAGCACAGGCACGGGCAGCACAGGCACGGGCAGCACAGGCACGGGCAGCACAGGCACAGGCAGCACGAGCATGGGCAGCACAGGGCAGCACAGAGCGTACTGGGTCCAGGGGCGGCAGCTGCTGCAGGCGCTGGCGGCGGCTGCTGCTGCAGGCTCTGGCGGCGGCTGCTGCTGCAGACTCTGGCGGCGGCTGCTGCTGCAGGCTCTGGCGGCGGCTGCTGCTGCAGGCTCTGGCGGCGGCTGCTGCTGCAGACCCTGGCGGCGGCTGCTGCTGCAGGCTCTGGCGGCGGCTGCTGCTGCAGACCCTGGCGGCGGCTGCTGCTGCAGGCCTGGCGGCGGCTGCTGCTGCAGACTCTGGCGGCGGCTGCTGCTGCAGACTCTGGCGGCGGCTGCTGCTGCAGACTCTGGCGGCGGCTGCTGCTGCAGGCCTGGCGGCTACTGCTGCAGGCCTGGCGGCGGCTGCTGCTGCAGGGCGGCGGCGTCTGTTGCTGCAGGCCTGGCGGCGGCTGCTGCTGCAGGGCGGCGGCGTCTGCTGCTGCAGGCCGGCGGCGGCTGCTGCTGCAGGAACTGACGGCGCCCCGCGGGTCCCGCATGGGGCGTCGCGACGAGCAGGGGCGACGCCCCGCGGGTCCCACAGGGGGCGTCGCGACGAGTAGGGGCGACGCCCCGCGGGTCCCGCACGGACGTCGCGACGAGCAGGGGCGACGCCCCGCGGGTCCCGTAGGGTCGTCGCGACGACTAGGGGCGACGCCCCGCGGGTCCCGCGCGGGCGTCGTGACGAGCAGCGGGGAGGGCAGCGCGCAAGCCCCCCCGAGGGCGCTTCGATGGACGGGAAAACCGCCGCGCGCCCCGAGCGCGCGGCGGGCAGAAAAAAGCCGAAATCCTAAAAAAAAATTCTGTCATGCCGAAATCATGCCGAAAAAAGCGTCAGGAAGAAGGACTGCAGCGGAAGCATAGGGGCCCACAGGCCAAGGTAGAACGGGCTCTGATAACATGTGAAAATATTAGGTGTGGGGCCTAGGCTTAGTAGCCTAGGCCCACACTAGGAGGTAGGTGAGTTCGAGTGAGTTTCTCCTAGGGGAGAGTATCGAGAGATTTGGAAGGGAAGGAAAAAGGGTGTGACTAGCAAGAGTTGGGATACACAAATAGAAAACCCTAAAGGGTTGTACTCAGTATTGAGCACCCCAATGCAGGCTAGACAAATAACATTCTGACAGGTAGGGGGGTGGGGAATGATACAATTCAAAGGAAATGGGCATACATATATGATATTCGTTGTATTTGTACAGAGAGAATGATGCGTCGGATGGTAAGTTCCGCCTTGTACCTACACACAAGCGTGCATACTAACCTTACCATCCGACGCATCATTCTCTCTGTACAAATACGACGAATACCATATATGTATTCCCATTTTCTTTAAAATATATCATTCCCACCCCCTTACCATGTTTTAACCTATCGGATCTATGTACTTTCTCAGATATAGACATTCTAGTCGTACATGGTACCTGCACTACAGACGTGCATCCTGACCAAACTGACCAACGCAATACATATGTTTGTAGAGATGCAGTTAGTGCCATATTCTTTCCAATCGACTAGATTAGTCCTTCTACTCCAACAACACTTGGTTATAACCTTTCCGATCCACATATTTTGGGAGATTTCAGAGTTATAGTTCCGCCTTGTACCTACACACAAGCGTGCATACTGACCTTACCATCCGACGCATCATTCCCTCTGTACAAATACAACGAATACCATATATGTATTCCCATTTCCTTTAAATTATATCATTCCCGTGTATTTGAGCATGGGCCACCCGAATATGCAACAACATTCAAGTTGCTTGACGCTTTTCCCTACGCCCATAGGGATCCATGCGCTTCCTTCGATTTGTCGGCAGGCGCGGCCGTCATCGCAGGTGCCGGACTTTTCAGTGCGTGCGAACCAAGCCGGAATTGCTCGGGTGGGTGTGTTTGAGCATGGGCCACCCGAATATGCTACAACATTCAGGTCATTTGACTCTTTTCCCTACGTCTGTAGGAATCCATGCGCTTCCTTAGCGCTTGTTGGCATGCGCGGTCGTCATCGTAGGCGCCGAACTTTTCCGTGCGCGCGAACCAATCCATTATTGCTCTGGTGGGTGTATTTGAGCATGGGCCACCCGGATATGCAACAACATTCATGCTGTTTGACGTCTTTCCCTACGCCCATAGGGATCCATGCGCTTCCTTAGTGTTTGTCGGCAGACGCGGCCGTCATCGCAGAGTCGACACTTTCTTGAGGAACATGATGTGACTAGACACCATGGGGTGGAGATGTGAGGTGACTCGACACTTGTTTGGGTGACATGATGCAACTAGACACCATGGGGTGGAGATGTGAGTTGAGTCGACACTTTCTTGGGTGACATGATGCAACTAGACACCATGGGATGGAGATGTGCGGTGAGTCGACACTTTTTTTGGTGACATGATGCAACTAGACACCATGAGGTGGAGATGTGAGGTGAGTCAACACCTTTTCTGGTAACATGATGCAACTAGATACCATGGGGTGGAGATGTGAGGTGAGTCGACACTTTTTTGGGTGACATGATGCAACTAGATACCATAGGGTGGAGATGTGAGGTGAGTCGACGCTTTCTTGGGTGACATGATGCAACTAGACACCATGGAGTGGAGATGTGAGGTGAGTCAACACTTTCTTGGGTGACATGACGCAACTAGACACCATGGAGTGGAGATGTGAGGTGAGTCGACACTTTTTTGGGTGACGTGATGCAACTAGACACCATGTAGTGGAGATGTGAGGTGAGTCGACTCTATTTTGGGTGACGTGACGCGAGTAGACACCATGGAGTGGAGATGTGAGGTGAGTCGACACTTTTTTGGCTGACGTGATGCGACTAGACACCACGGGGTGGAAATGTGAGGTGAGTCAACACTTTTTCGGGTGACATGATGCAACTAGACACCATGGGGTGGAGATGTGAGGTGAGTCGACACTTTTTTGTGGTGACATGATGCAACTAGACACCATGGGGTGGAGATGTGAGGTGAGTCGACACTTTTTTGGGTGACATGATGCAACCAGACACCATGGGGTGGAGATGTGAGTTGAGTCGACACTCTTCTTGGGTGACATGATGCAGCTAGACACCATGGGATGGAGATGTGAGGTGAGTCGACACTTTCTTGGGTGTCATGATGCAAATAGACACCATGGGGTGGAGATGTGAGGTGAGTCGACACTTTCTTCGGTAACATGATGCAACTAGACACCATTGGGTGGAGATGTGAGGTGAGTCGACACTTGTTTGGGTGTCATGATGCAACTAGACACCATGGGGTGGAGATGTGAGGTGAGTCGACACTTTCTTGGGTGACATGATGCAACTAGACACTATGGGGTGGAGATGTGAGGTGAGTGGACACTTTCTTAAGTGACATGATGCAACTAGACACCATGGGGTGGAGATGTGAGGTGAGTCGACACTTTTTCGGGTGACATGATGCAACTAGATATCATGGGGTGGAGATGTGAGGTCAGTCGACACTTTTTCGGGTGACATGATGCAACTAGACACCATGGGGTGGAGATGTGTAGTGAGTCAACACTTTTTTAGGTGACATGATGCGACTAGACACCATGGGGTGGAGATGTGAGGTGAGTCGACACTTTTTCGGGTGACATGATGCAACTAGATATCATGGGGTGGAGATGTGAGGTCAGTCGACACTTTTTCGGGTGACATGATGCAACTAGACACCATGGGGTGGAGATGTGTAGTAAGTCAACACTTTTTTAGGTAACATGATGCGACTAGACACCATGGGTGGAGATGCGATGTGAGTCGACACGTTTTTGGGTGACTTGATGTGAGTAGACACCATGGGGTGGAGATGTGAGGTGAGACGACACTTTCTTGGGTGACATGATGCAACTAGACACCATGGGGTGATGTGAGGTGTCTCCCTCTATTCACGCGCCCATTCCTATAGGTGTGGACTAGGCCAAAGCACAGAGGCAGCTCACAACCTTCGAGACGATCATGAGCGCCCACCAAGAGGATGTCGGCTTTGCGGAGGGCCTGAAGCACATGCTCTCCTCTCCGGACTGGACAACGAGCTACCCCAACATTGTGCGTCTGTGGATCGCCGTAGCCGTGCTCCCGCCAAGCACTGTGGAGTGCGAACGCGGGTTCTCGCGGAAAAACGTTATCAAGAGCTGGCTGAGGGGGAACATGTGCGACGCCAAGCTTGGCGAACTCATGACCGTCTCTCTTTTGAGCTACGACATGGAGTGGCCCGAGTTGGTGGCGAGGTGGCATAAATCTAAGAAGAGGAGGCCTGCAAATGATGTGCTGCTGACTTGAGTGGAGAGGGAGAGCAAGCATACGAAAAAAAGGTTCGCAGCAGCAGCAGAGGCAGCAGCAGTAGTAGCACCAGCTGCTGTGGCAGCGGCAGATGTAGCAGCACGAGAAGTAGCAGCAATAGCAGAAGCAGCCAGACCGGATGCAGAGTTCCCCTGGCTCAGTCGCAAGGGAAAAGAGAAGTACCGGATTCCAATGCCATTTGATAGCCTAGACAGCTGTAGTGATGATGACAGTGGCAGCAAGTCTGACTGGACTGTAGAAGTGAGAAGTAGTTTTCATGTTGTAGTTTGTAGAAATATTGTCTGTAATGTAGACCATAAAGAATAGTTCATCTGTTTTCCAGACTGGTGTTAATGTTTCATCTTAGAAATCAGACTACAAAAAAATCCTAATCTGAGCGAGAGACGGAGAAAAAACAAGAGGCGACGACGTCGTCGTAGGGTTGCGAAGCGTTTTGCATAACTAGTATTTTTTGTACAGTTTATTATGCTATGTACCTTAATTTGACTGGCGACCACGTTATGTACCACCATTTTATATCGGACACGAAACTCGAGGAATATTTCGAGATTTGTGAAATCCGAGTGCGGGTATTGAACCTGTGAGCATTCGATTCTAACCTATAGTTTACTGACTGCGCAAATCCACTTGTCAAGTCATTGCTATCAAACTTATCAATCCGGATATCACGCGACGAAATACATACTTACCCAGGGTTTGTCTTTCCCTTTTTTCTTCCGCTCCCTTCTCGCTAAGCTGGATCCTTGGCATTCTCCCGCCAGTCACGCTGCACCTACCATTCTAAGGTGAAATGACAGGTAGACTTTCAAGAAGAACTATTCTCAATTACTATTAGCTATACCAACATGTCGTAATCTCTTTTTCTTACCGTTTTAATCGATTCAAGTTGTTGAGGCTTAGGTTCTAGGCACTTCGTATTATTTAGGTCATGTTTTTCGTTTCTTCCTGCTTAATCCCGCATCAGTTTATTATGTTATTCATCCTTACTGCCTTTCGTCGGTTGCCTTCTTACTATCTCGAATTTGCATGTTTTCGTTCACTTCTTTGTTTTCTGTCCGATCATTGCTCTTCTTTCCTTTCGTTACTCCCCTTCCCTGAAGCCCGCCCTCTTTCCGTCAGTTCTTCACAAGATAGTGTTGGGAAGTCATGTGATTGCAACTCCCGTATAGTGCATGTAAGGTATGTCATCTTCTTAACGCCTCATACTCTCTTTCCCATCAATTGCTTGCTTCTCCCATTGCCTGATTCGTAGTTCTCATTTGTTTCTCTCTTTCCGATTTCTGCGCACTAGTTTGCATAACGTAAATTTCCCTAGTTTTATGTGTGAAGTCTCTTGATCGGCTTATTGTTCTCTAACTCGTATTACTAGCATGCTTTTACATTTTGTTCCTTGATTCCTCGGATGTTGTCATTGTTTCTCCTTTGCCTTCTAACCACCTTTCTCTCTCTTTCTATCAATTTTGCCATTTTTCTCTACCATTCGTTTTGTTTTTTCGCACTATGCTTACACTTGCTTACGTTTCCTTGTTTAGTCCATTATCTCCTTACTCCCAAGGTTGAAAATTTCGCTAGGCGAAACTTTCGCTTCGAAAGTTCCGCCCGAAAAAATCGCTCAAATTTTGAATATTTCGCCGAAATTTTGTTAGGACACAAGGGGAAAAAAAAACCCTAAAAAAAACGCTGGGGAGGACCAGAACCCATGTCGTGACTCCAGTATCCACTTCAAACACATGGGAGAGGGAGATCTAGGCATGACGCAGTGGTGCAGTAGCCTGAGGTTGAGAGATAGTCGTAATCAAGTGAATTAAGTAGCACTACTGACGGATTCTGCCAGGTGATGGGCACTGTCAACTAAGCTCGGCGAATTTGCGACAAGCCCTAACTCGTCGATGGTGAAGATAGATCTCCACAGAACACAAAATCATCACATTTTGTGCATCCAACCTATTTCTATCTCTTAACCACGTATTACCGCTCTGTATGTAGAAAACCCAACCCACCCAAATTTTACAGCTGGGCTGAGGGGGGCTTTCCTAGATCTAGATCTCCAATCGACCCCCCTTCAATCCTCATTCGATAGCTCACTTCTTCAGTGAGGTTTGAAAATTTCGCCGAAATTTTCACCGAAAATTTTGCACCGAATGTGAAACCTCAAAGATGGGCGAAATTAACCAAAAACTTCGGGCGAAAGCTTCGACGGCAATTTTTTCGCCCAGATTTTGAAAATTTCGCCGAAATTTTGAACCTTGCTTACTCCCTAGTAATATTTTGTATTTCCAAGCTTGTTTTTTCCTGATTCTTCTGTTTTTCACTTTTTTCTTCTTTCCTCTGTTGCATGGGCTAGTCCTGTTTACCGTAATACTCGTTGGACTAGTTTCTTTCTGATGCTTCTACGTGGATCGTCGTCGTTCTAGATTTCGTTCTCGATAATTGTCATCGTTCTTAGCCCTTTTTTTTTGTCTTCTAATCGTACATCACTCTTCTAGCTCGAGGTGCGTTTACTGTCTTCCCTCCATTCGTTCTTCCTCCAATCTTTCAATATCTGTCTACTTAGTTCCGTGGTCTTAGGGGTTTCTTCCGAGCTTCTTAGGGGTTCCGTGGTCTTAGTTCCGATCAATCTCCTTTCTATTTTTTTTCGCCTCTCAGTTGTTCTCTTATCCGTTCATCTTTCCGTTTCGACCTTAACGTTATGTACGCTAGCCACAAAGTTCTTTTTGTTTTCGTTCTGTTGCACTCCATTTTCTTTCCAATCTATTTTGTCTTGTTTCTCTGATCCTTTCGATTTTTTGTTTCAACTCTTTCCTATGCATTCTTTAGCGTGTTTGTTCTCCGATTATTGTATTTCTGCTCCATGTGACTACTTGATCTTTTTTACTGAGCATTGATATTCATTGGATGTATCAAATCAGTTCAGATTTCTATGCATTTTTGTGGTATGAATCTTATTCCATTTGTTCCCCTCCCACCTCTCTCCCCCCCTCTTCCCCCCCCAGAGACTTTGCTGTAGCATTCAAAAAGTCAAGGCTAATGTGGGAAGTAGAAATATTCTTGTTTGTATGATTGATGCTACTGTATTGTTATGTTAGATTTCTTTTAGGTCGTTTTTTTATTGTGTCTGGATTTTTTTGTGTGCATGTCAGTATGCGTGTTTGTGTGTATGTGTCTCTGTGCACACTCATCCATATGCATTATCATTGCATTAACAATGCGCATCTGTGAATTTCAAAAAAATGGTCAACCTGTCAAATCCGAGAAGGTTCTTTGCCCACTCAGTGAGTGTGTTCACTTGAACTGGATTTGATAGATCTTGATCATTTTTTTTGGTTTACACAGATTGTGTTGTTTCACGTAACCGTTGGATCATTCAGGAACTATGCTATTGACCTCCCCCCCATGCTAGGCAGGGGACGCGGTAGCATAGGGTCTGGATCAATTAATTGTTACGCATTTCCATCATGGTATACATTAATTTCACTATACTGAACTTATACCAAGATATATACTACTGTCGAAATATTTTGTCATGTTTTATAATTGCTTGTAGTTGTAGTTAGTGTAGTTATGTAAACTTTTGTTGGTGGTGCACCTTATTGTGTTTCTATGCTATATGTACCCCTGAACCTATAGTGAAACCCACCTTTTCACAATTTTCCTCTCAACTCACTCGACTCTCACCCTAGGGGAAAACCCGCTCGATACTAAGTTAGGGCCTAGGCTACTAAGCCTAGGCCCCACGTTTCTACTCTCTATTACCTACTATCTTGACATGTTATCGGAGCTGTTTTCGTCCTGGCCTGTGGGCCCGCGTTACTCTTCCGCTGCTGAGATTTTCCGGTCGCGCGCCTAGGGCGCGTGACGATTTTAGTTTTACCTTGTCCCGCCCACGGGCGTGTGACTCCTATCCTGCCCGTCGCGCGCCCCGTGGCACGCGACGGTGCCCTTTATCTGCCCATCGTACGCCCCGAGGCACACGATGGTGCCCTGCTCGTTGTGCGCCCCGAGGCACACGATTGGGCCCTTTTATCCTACCCGTCGTGCGCCCCGTGGCACTGGCCCGCGACGGGCCTCTCCGCCCCTGCACTCCCTGCTGCCGTCCCTGACCCATCTGCACCGACGCCTCTTCGCCGCTCTGCGGCTTTCTTCCTTCCCACCCCCCCCTTTCTCTTGTCTCCCTGCAGCCGTGGGGAGGAGGGTATGGGGGTGGAGGGTGTTGGAGCGTGGGGTCAACTCTCTCCCTTTCCCTCCTCCTTCTTTCAGTCCCACCGCTGCAGCTGCCGCTGGGGGAGGAGGGTGTGAGGATGTGGGTGAGGGGGGGGGGTGGTACCGGGGTGGCGGGGGTGAGGCAACAAGCAGCCGTCCCTCCACCTTTCCTCTTTCCCCCCTTTCTCTGCTGCTTCTGCAGCAGTGTTGGGGAGGGGAAGGAGGAGGGTGAGGAGATGGTAGGGGTACCTGCTGTTGCTGTAACTACACACCTACCTACAAGCATTATGGGGGCGTGTCGAAATATTTTGTCATGTTTTATAATTGCTTGTAGTTGTAGTTAGTGTAGTTATGTAAACTTTTGTTGGTGGTGCACCTTATTGTGTTTCTATGCTATATGTACCCCTGAACCTATAGTGAAACCCACCTTTTCACAATTTTCCTCTCAACTCACTCGACTCTCACCCTAGGGGAAAACCCGCTCGATACTAAGTTAGGGCCTAGGCTACTAAGCCTAGGCCCCACGTTTCTACTCTCTATTACCTACTATCTTGACAACTACAATTACCATAATAGCATATGCATTATATATATGCATTTTGCATTCAATATAAAATTCATCATATCCATCATTATACTTCATCTATGCATAACATTATCTAGCATACGCATTACGAAATAAACCGTCAGGTGTTCACAGTAACATCATTTTGGCAACCCATGACATTGGCAAACCAGGAAATGAGAACGAATGTGGTACATCACGTGCTAAACTGCGCGGCTAGTACAGCTAGCAATTTGTCAGTCACTTAGCTACCGTTCACTATATTTTTTTTCATCCTTTTTTTTTTTTTTTAAGAATGGAGGATGGAAAAAAAATTTGTACATAACGATTGTAATAGGTTGCTTCGCAACCCAAAAAAGTTATACATACTGTCAGACAGGCCAGAATCCTAGCGAGAGCCCTGGTGCCAGGTGGCCAGGCGAGAAGACACTGTAAGCAATTATTACGGTAGATGAGAACCAAGCAAGGCTAAGGGCGTATTCCTACGGCCTCCTATCAAGGCCACCTCCTATCAAGATTGTACCTTTTGCCTGGTGAAAGTAGCGAGAGATTTTGGGTTTAGGGATTTTTTCAGTGTGACCTTGATAAGAGGTTAGCTTGATAGGAGGATAGGAATACGCCCTAATAAGGGTGATATGGAGGGGCGGCAGTTTCAAGAGGAGCACAGACTGGGAGGTAATACTGTAGGTTGAGATATGGCATAAAGAGCGAGGTGGCTGGGATGGGACACTTGAGTCTGTGACGGACAGAGCGTAGCATTACCAGTTGGTCCATCTGTCCATCCATCCTCCTGCATGCACCAGGCCACAGGCACAATGAGAGCACACCACACCAGCATATCAGATTCAGGTCGCAATTTTTGAAGCATCTCAAAATCTCTTTAAGAACCTGAACAGCTGAAGAAGAAACAAACAGACTTGAACAGCTGAAAAGGCAGAGGGTGAGAGGTGAGAGGAGGAGAGGGGCAGGTGGATGAGAGGGGTGAAAAGGATGAGAGGGGCGAAAGGATGAGAAGAGCGAGAATACAGACCTGGGAACTTGCGAATGAGCCATTTGCGGAGCTCTCCAATGGCGAGGATGGTGAGGGCAAAGGGCACGCCGATGAACCAGTAGAGCACATTGAGGGGCCGCGTGTCAAACACCTCCTGCAGGAACGGCCAGTACAGGAGCGCTGCTGCCACCAGCGTCTCAAAGAACAGCGAGAAGGTTAGCACGTGGTTGCGCATGCCCTGGAGAGAGTCAGGCGTTGCAGAGAGTCAGGCGTTGGCAGAGGGCATACGTAGAAAGAGAACGGAAAGATCCATGGCTCTGGTGAAACACGCCGAGGAGCACCGCACCTGCATTGGCAGCACGGACCTGCTGGAAGAGCGAGAGGCGGCGGGTCTTGCACACGAGCAGGTTGGCCCACTGGGTGACGATGACAGCGACATAGTAGGCGGACTGGGCATAGCGCAACACCTCCACCTGGTACTGCGTGTTGGGCTGCAGCTGCTTCCGCCCCGCCCACCAGTACCACCCGTTGTACGGCCCCAGTGGCTTTCCCAGCTGCTGTCGCCCTGGGAACCCCACCTGAGAAGGGGGGGAGATGGGGAGTGGGACAAGATGGTTGGGTTAGGAGAGAACTCGAGGGGAGCACGGGTCACGAGGAGGGGAGGGATGAGTGTAGGGAAAAATAGGTAAGGGAATTGGAGAAACGTGGGCAAGCATGTGGAGGCTTGGGCAGAGTGACAGGGAAGCAGGACATAGCTACGCACACGGAAGCAGCAAAGTAGCGACGCAGCAACCGCAGTTCCACACGCAGAGACTGAGTGTGCGCTGCGGCGCATGAGAAGCACTCACATTGGAGGAGAGCGACGGGCTGGAGCACTGCGACGGCAGCACACCCCCCAGAAAGGCAGAAGCCGATGTGTTGCAGGTGAGCGCGCAGAACTGCTGCCCCTTGAACCCCGCCGCGCCCATCTCACTGAGCGGATCCACCACCACTGGCGTCACGTTGCTGTTGGGCATGGGGCAGCCCTGGTAGCAATAGGGCTGTGCCGCGGGCGGCGAGGACGTGTCGGGCATGGCGAGGGAGTAGTTGGGCGGGCCGCAGCCATACCCGCAGTCGTAGGGCTCGTTGCCCCGGTCGAATGTGCAGATGATGGGGTTGCGCGCGAAGTCAAATCCAATTCGCTGCAACATCTGTGGGAGAGAGGGAGCGGGGGAGGTAGGGAGGGGGGTGTTCGAGGAGCGGAGGTGATAGGGGAAGAGGTGAAAAGGTATGGGGGAGTGAGACTCGTACCAGGTAGCAGCCTCAAAGACGGGTGTCACATTGGGATTGAAACAAGTTACCAGTAACCCGTACACAATAACCAATAACAGTAACAAGTGAGCAGTAAAAAACAAAGTCATGCTGGATCATCATCGTCGTCAAGACTGAAAGACAACAAGGCAGGCAGCAAGGCAGCGAGGTTGCAAGCAAAGTGCACTGCATGACAATACATTGGGGCAGAAGCCATAGTCGTTGAAGACAGCGAGGTAGGCAAGGAAGCCAGCAAGCGTCTGCACGGCGCCAATGAGCAGATACGCATGGCTGATCAGCCGCCAGCTCACCAGCCGGTCCCGCCTGGGGTTGCGTGGCGGGCGGTCCATGATGTCCGACTCCTGGATAGGAAGGCCAGAGGGGAAGAGGTGGGCGGGCAGGGAATTTTTCAAAGTCCCCTCCCTTTCGATCCCTTCATCTCCTACATCTCCCCTCCCCTCCACTTGCCACCCCTCCTGTTACCCTGTCCTCCCGCTTCTCCCCAGCAGAAGCTCACCTTCTCCTCGTAAGCCAGGGAGATAGCAGGCAGCATGTCGGTGCCGAGGCAGATGGCGAGCATGAGCACGGTGGAGAGCGCGAGGGGCACGCCGAGCAGCACGTTGACGAGGTAGGGGATGAGCTGCGGCACGTTGACGGTGAGCGCGTAGCAGATGGTCTTCTTGAGGTTGTTAAAGATGAGCCGCCCCTCCTCCACGCCGCTCACTATGCACGCAAAGTTGTCGTCCATCAGGATCATGTCCGCCGCTTCCTTGGACACGTCCTTGCTGGGCGGGGGGTGCAGTGCGGGGAGGGAGGGAGGGGGAGAGAGGGAATAGGGCAGAGGAGAAAGAGGTAAAGCTGTCGTCCACGAGGATCATGTCCACCGCTTCCTTGGACACGTCCTTGCTGGATGGGGGAGATGAACGGTGGGGGAGTTTCGAGAAGATGAGTGGGGGGGCGTTTGTGGTTGGGCCAATGGGGGAGTCAAGTCAAGTGCATTGATCCCGCACACATGGATAGCCAGGTGACTTTTGAGTCGACTCAAAAGTCACTATCTCCCCCCGCCGCTGGCAGTGCTCCACCAGCAGCAGCTTGTGCGACGGGGACACCCGCGCAAAGATTACCTGGTGCGAGGGGGGGGAGGGGGGGGGGAGAGGGGGGAGGAAAGGGAGCAAGGGGGGAAGGGGGGAGAAACGGGAAAAGGGGGGAAAGGGGGGGAAAAGGGGGAAAGGGGGGAAAGGGGGGAAATGGGGGGAAAGGGGGAAAGAAGGAGGTAAAGGGGGGAAAGGGGGGGAAAAGGGGGGAAAAGGGGAGAAAAGGGGGAAAGCGGGGGGGGAGGAGGGGGAATGGGAGAGCAGCGCGGAGTGGGGTCAGGGAGGAGAGCAAGGGAGGTGGAGAAAAGCGTGAAAAGACATGCTGGTTGCAGTGATTGGGGAGCAGGATAAGGGAGCGCAATGAGAGTGGGTGCTTGCAGGTAGCGCAGTGAGTGCGTTAAGGAAAGGGAGGGCGTGGCGGAAGAGAAGGGGGAAAGAGAATCTCCTCCCTGGGGTTGAGGATCACACCTGGTCGTGCGAGAGGGCCTCGTCCCATTTGAGAATCTCCTCCCTGGGAGTGAGTGCACTCCACGCCCTGATGTCATCGCCCGTCACCACCGCCGCACTGCCCGCCTCCACCTTGCTGCTCTCCAATATGCCCACCTGCCCGTGCCCGTCGGGGCACACAGGGTGGCAGTTCGAGACAGTGAAAGGCGGGAGTGAGGGAGAGAGTGAGAGAGGAGGAGGTGAAGTGGTGATGGAGCAGGAGGAGGGGCTGGTCTCCCGTGGCCATGATTACCTTCACCTTCACCTCTTCCCCATGCCTGACAACCCCCGAGGCCTCACGTTTACACATTTCCCGTCCCTCTCCTCTCCCCCCTATCCCCCACCCCTCCCGTCCCCTCCCCATCCCCCTGTGATTCTCGCATGAACCGTGGTGGCGGTGGCGGTGGCGGTGATGGGGTGGTCGCCCGTGACCATGATGACCTTCACAGCGGCGCGCCGGCACTGTGCCACGGCCTCGGGCACGCCCGGGCGTGGCGGGTCCATGAGGCTCACCATGCCCACGAACGTCAGCCCGCCCATGGGGAAGTTGGGCTGCGGCTTGTGCGTGAACTGCCACGAGAGGAGGAGAAAGGGGGGGGGTGAGACGAGAAAGGCGAAGGGGAAGCAGGGAAGGGAGGAAGAGGGAAGGCGGGGAGAGAGGGGGGGGGAATGGACAGGAGGGGGTTGGGGTGAACGAGCGTGTGGAAGCAGAGCTAGGCAGCGCATGAGCAGCAGAGCAGAGCAAGAGAGCACTGAGAAACAAAGCACCGCACAGCAGCAGCTGCACTCACCGCAGCAGCAGCAGCCACAGCAGCAGCACACGCATCTCACCGCAAACTCGTTGGTGAAACCCTTCGAGGTCCCTGAAGGCCATGCCGAGCACGCGCTCCCCGAAGCCGCCCATCTGCTGGTACGCCTCCTGGAAGTGCTTGCGGCTGTCACTGGTGAGGTCGTACACCTGCCCGTTCACCAGGATGTATGCACATCGCTCCAGCACCGTCTCTGGTGCGCCCTTCATCACCAGCACCGGCGGTAACCGGTTCTGCGCTGACTGGCTGTGGCGTTGAATGGGTGAAGGGAGAGGAGGGGAGGAGAGGGGAGGGTATAAAGAATGGGGGCAGGAGTGGTAGGGGGTTTATAGTCAACTCAAACAGGGCACCGCTCCAACACCGTCTCTGCCGTCCCACCTCTTTCCCCGCCTACGGCTTTCCCGCTCTCGTCCCCAACCTCCTTCCCCCCCTCCCCCCCACATTCCCCCTCCCCCTCCCCCTCCCCCTCCCCCTCCCCCTCCCCCTCCCCCTCCCCCTCCCCCTCCCCCTCCCCCTCCCCCTCCCCCTCCCCCTCCCCCTCCCCCCCCCCAGCGCCATACATGTGGATGGAGAGCTGCCACATGGAGGCGGAGGAGAAGTTGATCTCGAGCAGCTTGGCGTACAGGTCCCTCAGCTCCTTGGCGGGCCGCAGCGCCTCCACCAACTTGAGCAGCCCCTGCTCCGACGCGTCCCCTGCACACGGCGCCGCGTGCAGGTTGAACTCGCGCCGCCGCATCTCTATGCCCATCACCAGCCCCTCTGTGGGTGGGGTGGAGTGCGGAGCGGGGATGGGGAGAGGGAGTGAGGTTGGGGGTTGAGTGGATGGGAGGGTGGGAGTGCAGGAGGGAGAAGGTGCATGCGTGGATGAAATGGCACACACAAGCACAAGCACAAGCATAAACACAAGCACAAGCACACACACTTCCGCGCACAGTTGCTGCAGAACAACAACAACGCAGTGCCGTACTGAGGCGTGTGAGAAGGGACCTGTGAGGAAGTCATGAGAACGCGGACCTGCACAACAACAACAAGTCATGCGAACGCGGACCTGTGAGGAAGACGGCGTTGCTGCAGAGCGAGATGATGAGCTGCAGCTTCTGGAACGTGGGTGACTGCGCCTCGTACGCTGTCGCTGCTGCTGGCCCTCGCATCACCTCCTCCCACTCCACCCGGTTGCGCACCACCGGACAATCAAACACCCGCAGGTCGTACCAGCAGTGCTCTGCAGTAAGGCGAGGCGGGAGGGGGGAGAGGGAGAGGAAGGGAGTAAAGATACCAGAGGGGACGAGGGAAGGAGGGTGAAGTGTTCAGGACGGAAGGATAGGAGGGGCAAGAGGGGGAGTGGGAAGATCACAGCAGAACCAATTGAAACTTCCTCATTTACAAACGCGTACATATGCAGTTCATAGGCACGTGCCAGTGCATGGGTGGGGGAGGGGTTGGAGAACGGGGTGAGGAAGCGAAGGAGGGAGGAAGGGAGAGAGAGGATAGAGAGGGAGGAATTGCAGAAAGAGGAAGCAGGGAAGCAGGACGAGGGGCGAAGGAGGAGTGAGGGGGGAGGGAGGAAGGGGCACACACGGACGGTCATGCGGTTTTGAGTGAGGGTGGCGGTCTTATCAGAGGCAATGACGGTGCATGAGCCAAGGGTCTCCACGGCCTGCAGGTTCTTCACCAGCACACTGCGCACATGCATGCGCTTCGCTGCTAGCGCCAGGGACACCTGTGGCACACGGGTGGAGCAGCACGTATGGCAGAGGGGACACGACACGAGTGGGATGCCATTCAGATGCGTTATTCATGCATGTTGCACTGGCGGTGCGAACACGCATTGATGCAATGTGAGGCGTATCATGACATCACGACCACAGCAAGCACATGGCCACTCGCCGCATTCCACCCCTCCCACTCGCACTGCCACTCCATCTCTCCCTCCCTCCCCCAATCCCTCCCTCCCCTCCACGCTCCTTCCCCTCCTCGCTCCCTCCTCCCTCCCCCCGCACCGTGACAGCAGCCATGAGTCCTTGAGGCACATTGGCAACAATGACGCCAATGCCCAACACCACGGTGTGCAGGAAGGGGTCGCCCAGCAGCAGCGCGATGGCGAAGAACAGGAGCCCCATCACCACGGCCATCAGGCTGATCATGCCCACCAACTGCTTCAACTCCACTGCTAGCGGCGTGTCCCCCGGGGGCGTCAGCACCGACAGACCTGCCCCGTCACGGGGAGAGGGGAGAGGGGAGAAGGGAGAAGGGGGCGTGGGGAGGGGAGAGGCGAGAAAAAAGACGCAGAACTTAAGAGCACGTGGCAAGAAGTGGGATGCAAACTCATGCAATGAAACAGGGACAGAGCCAAGGAGTTGTGGGATGGATTAGGTAGAAGGGCTAAGGGTGGTACTGACAGGTAGGTGACACTGAAGGAGGTTGCTCATGTCATTTGGAGATGTTCAGATGATTCACTCTCGGCTTGCTGCATGTGTGGCGCACACATGGAGAAACATGGGGATGGACGGGATACACGAAATGGGGTTGGATGGGGTTGGACGTATAAGGTTGGGGCAAGGAAAATGAACGATTAGGAGAGGGAGAGGGAGGGGAGACGTGGAAGGACTACAGATGGGGCAATGTACTGAGGTGAGGAGAGGGATGCCTGGGACGTTGATGCTGCGTCCCATCTGCCGCACTGCATGCACGTACACATGACAAGACAGCATTCCACGTTGCCTTTTCATCCGGCCTCGTCACAATCTTCCCTCTTATTTGTTCAGCACTCTCACTCTCGGTAGCGCCGCCCACCCGAACGCACCCCCGGGGCATAGCCAGTACCTGCACACGTTGCTGGCACGCCCCTGGCAAGCGGGCCGCGAGAGTACTCAGAAGGCACCCACATGTGTTGGGGCAACACTCACATGCGCAGGGGCAGCACTCACATGCGCTGGGGCAGCACTCACATGCGCTGGGGCGGCACTCACATGCGCTGGAGCAGCACTCACATGCGCTGGGGCAGCACTCACATGCGCTGGGGTAGCACTCACATGCGCTGGAGCAGCACTCACATGTGCTGGAGCAGCACTCACATGCGCTGGAGCAGCATTCACATGCGCTGGAGCAGCACTCACATGTCACAACTTAGGCTTAGAAGCGATGCATTAGTAATGAGCTTGAAGCTCTTTAAGTACATCCAAGGGAGGGAATGGATGGGAAAGGGAATCGGGGGCAATCCCTAGGGATTGGGGGTAATCCCAAGGCAATCTCCAATTGGTGGGTTGGAGATTGCTTGGAGATTACATTTGGGTTTGGTTGGGATGTAGGTGTACACCCAACCAAACACAATGTGCAAACTACACTACTCTAGGATATAGAAAATACAAAGTACAAAGTGTGAGATTGAAGGCTAACACTAACATCACATGCGCTGGAGCAGCACTCACATGCGCTGGAGCAGCATTCACATGCGCTGGAGCAGCATTCACATGCGCTGGAGCAGCACTCACATGCGCTGGAGCAGCATTCACATGCGCTGGAGCAGCATTCACATGCGCTGGAGCAGCACTCACATGCGCTGGAGCAGCACTCACATGCGCTGGAGCAGCACTCACATGCGCTGGAGCAGCACTCACATGCACTGGAGCAGCATTCACATGCGCTGGAGCAGCATTCACATGCGCTGGAGCAGCACTCACATGCATCACGTACCAGGGAGACGACGTTGCCTGCGAGTGTCGCATGTGACGCCCTGCATGGTGGAGCAGTCGCTGCTGGCCGACCACGCCTGCCAGCCGCCCCCAAGCTGCCCCCACGCTGCCAGCACGTGCAAAACACCTTGACTGCCAGCGAAGGCAGGAGAGGGTTGGACGCAGGGGGTGCAGTCGCGGGCTCACGGAGGTCAGCGGGCATGGTGGAGTGTGGGGGGAGGGAAGCCACGTGGGGAGGGGCATGGGGACAAGCAGGGACCGGAAGAGGGTTGTGCGACAGATGAGTGAGGGTTGTTGGGAGAGGGGATGAGAAGAGGGAGTGGAGGGAAGAAAGGGAGGGAAAGGAGGGAAGGCGGGGTGATAACAGGGCAGTAGCATAGGAAGGGGGGCATGGAAAGGCAAAGAGGGAGCAGGGAGAGGCGGAACAAGGATGTTAAGGGTGCGTTGTGCGTTCAGGAGAGCGATTGACCGTTGCAGGACATGCGCAATGGCTAGAGCGCTTCTGCATCGCGAAATTGGCAAGTGCTGAAAGCCACAAAAATGTGTTCCAAATGTGACTTTTGCGTGACAAGTCCGGCGTTTTATAGTCATGGTTGAAAGTACCAGCGCCGATGTGACTGCAGATGTGACAAAAAAGTCACACAAAAGCAATGGAAAAACGTACGTTCTGTAACATTTGTGTCACATAAGACGTCACATCCCACGTTACTAGCATGTGCCTATTACGTCCCTCGTGCGAGCGACAAAAAAGTTCAGGACGCGAGCTACGTTTAAGCGCTGGTGTGCTGTCGCCTAAACGCATACCATTAGTACTATGGAGAGTAGAACGAGAATGAATGAACTATGAGTGAAGTGAGTACAAATAGCAAACCCTAATTGGGTTGTACCCCCTATGGGATACCCCACTAAAGCCTACACAATAGCATAAGCTATATATATGTTCTGACACACCCCCATAGGCAAAGTGGGGGAGAACAAGGGGTCACAAGACCAGTCAAGCAAAGTAAAGCAAAGCTCAGGGTGGATCACAAAGTCACCACACAGTCCGAGCACAAGAGCAAGGCCAAAGGCCAGTTCACATGCAGGAGTACAGACATATATATACAAAGCTAGACAAGCAAGAGCAGGTATATATATGTGACAGTACAAGTAAGGTCAAGAGGAGAGCAAGTGAGGCAAAACAGGTACAAGACCCAGCTGGGTGCAGAAGCGCTGATGGTCACAAGGCGCGAGTGCCTTGGTGAACACATCAGCAGTGTTGGCCTCAGAGGCCACGTACACAAGTCGCAACTGTCCACGCTGCTGTAGCTCACGAGCAAGGAAGTAGCGGAGAGCAATGTGCTTCGTTCTGTGCTCCAGACGCTGCTCTCGACACAAGGCCAGCATGGCCTTGTTGTCTACGTACAGCACTGGAGGAGAACGAGGCGGCTCTCCAAGGTCAGTCAGCAGGTAGGTGAGCCAGCGAAGCTCCTGTGCAGCCATGGCCCCTGCGTAGATCTCAGCCTCACAACTGGAGCTGAGAACCGAAGACGAGCAAGTAGCCCGCCACGAGACAAAGCCGGAACCAAGGCTGAAGGTGTAACCCTGTGACGACCGCTGCGTAGCCTGGTCGTCAGCCCAAGAAGCGTCCGCGTGTCCTGTAAGGACCACTGGACTCCGCCCTCCAAGCACTAGCCCCATGCCCGACGTACCGCACAGGTAGCGCAACACCCTCTTCGCTGCAGCCATGTGCTCTGGTCGGTGTCTCCCAGGAGCAACATAGCGTGCAAGAATGCTAAGAGGGTATGCAAGGTCAGGTCGTGTGCAGGTCATCAGGTACATGAGGCAGCCAACAAGCTCTGGGTACGGGCCACTCGACTCTACAGGACTCATCCAAAGGCAGAGCTGAGAGCGAGTGGCGAGTAGACAGAGGAGTGGCCTGAGGCGAGGAGTACGTGAAGCCGAAGCGCTGAAGGACCTGCTGCACCATGTGTGACTGAGTCAGGGTAATGGTGCACTGTGCTCTGTCCCAGGTGATCTACAAGCCAAGGTAGCTGCGCAGTTCACCCAGGTCTGTGCACGTGTGTCTCTTCTGCAGCTCGGACTTCACGTAGGCGAGTCCAGCAGTGTCAGCAGTGGCAAAGATCAAGTCGTCGACGTACACGAGGATGTAGAACGGCGGCAGGAGAGGTGTCGGTGCGTAGAAACAGCGACGGGTCGGCAGTAGAGGGAGCAAACCCAAGAGCCGCAAGTGTAGTCCTCAGTGTGTCGTGCCACTCACGGGGCGCCTGGCGGAGACCGTAGACTGGCCGTCGGAGGCTCCACTGGGTACCAGGAGGAAACGACCCAGTGAAGCCAGGAGGGTGGCGCAGCCATATCTCCTCGTGTAAGCTGCCCTGCAGGAAAGCTGTGCTAAAGTCAAGAGAGTGAAGCTCGTAGTCGCGCTGAGCGGCTATGTGCAGCAGCACCCGAAGAGTGGTCATCTTCGGGGTGGGAGAGAAGGTCTGAAAGTAGTCAACTCCCTGCCGCTGACTGAAGCCACGAGCCACGTACCGCGCCTTGAAGACAGGTGGAGAGCCAGGCGGCCGCTTCACCCTGAAGATCCACATGCCACTGGCGATGTTCGCCCCAGGAGGGGGAACCTCGTCAACGTAGGTGCCTGTGGACTTCCAGGAAGCCATCTCTGCATCCATAGCTGCCTGCCACTGAGAGGAGTAGGGACCCTCTACGGCCTCCGCAGTAAGAGCGCGGAGTCGGGATGTCTAGTGCATCCGGGTCTCCCTCAGGAGCAAGCAGTACAGATGCAAGATGAGGCGAAGCAGCAGCCAGACACTGGAACTCCTCTTGCCTGTCCTCTAGGACGTCCGTGCCAAGAGCACACTCACCCCCGACGGACGGAGGACAGACAGACACAGACTCAGCAACAAGACTGGCAGCGTAGTCTAGACGACAGCGAGCAGCAAAGTCGACGAGATCAGCAACAAGAGCAGACACAGCAGCGGACTCAAAAGAGGGGTCAGTGACGACAGTAGCAAGCAGACGCGTGACAGTAGGACTGGCAGCACGAAGGGAGTCCGACTCAGGGTCAGCAAGCGCAGGAAGAGAGGACTCAGGAGGAGAAGGCAAAGGGGCACGCAGAGGAGCAGTAGACGGACGCAGAGACATCCGGTGCGTGCCAGGGACAGGAGGAGGACGCTGACGCGAACTGCGACCACTAGCGCGAGCAGCACGAACAGGCGACGCGGGACGAGACGCAGGCTCACGACGCTCAGCCAGACCCCCAGTAGGACCAGTGTAAGGAGAGGGAGCAAGCAGTGGGGAGGTAGGCTCTAGCAGTGACTGCGACTGGACAGGCTGTGGACACTCTACAGGAGGAGAAAGACCAAGAACCTGCTGTAGGAGCGGAACGAAGTACGGCCGAGGCCGCGCAGCAACTCCAGACTCAGCAGGGACAGCACCAGCACCCTCAGCGGCAGCACCAGCGCCACCAACACCTCCAGTGGTCGGACCTCCAGCAGTACCAGCAGCAGGACCACCGCCAGGACAGACAGCAGTAGTCTCAGCACCAACACCCTCAGCCGCTCCAGCTCCAGTAGGACCCGCAGGCCCAGCAGCTTCGGGACCGGCGGCACCAGCACCCCCGACCGTCGGGGAAGCTCCAGCTCCAGCAGTACGCCTCCAGCGGCGAGCGAACCACTCGCGCAGCTCCTGTGGAGAGAGGGGCTCCCGCCGAGACGGAGAACCAGGAGAGACCCCAGGCGTAGTAGCTCCAAACGCAGCACCCCCAGGCTCAGCAGCTCCAGACACCGCACCCCCAGGCTCAGCAGCTCCAGACACCGCACCCCCAGGCTCAGCACCCCTAGGCCAACGTCTGGATGCCCTTTTTACCACTATTTCTTCACACATTTCTCCAATACATCCTATTTTCTGACCATAGCAACTGATTTCATCTCGTTAGCACAACTATTCAGCTCGTGGCGCATGTTTGTGCGTTTCCAGGCCTGAATCTGTGCGAGGATAGGCGTGTGCGCAACATGTCACCGCGCCAACGTCTGAATGCCCTTTTTACCACTATTTCTGTTAGAACATATAGCTTACCTGTTTGTGTAGGCTACAGTGGGGTATCCCATAAGGGGTACAACACAATTAGGTTTCCTATTTGTACTCATTCTTGACTTAGTCAATTCATTCCTCTTCTCACTGTTTCACATGGTATAGAGCTAGGTCCCTCCAGGACCGATTTTTTGGGCCCACCGAAGCGCGCCCAGAGGCGCGATTTTTTTTAGCGACCCCTCGAGTCGCCCTCTCCCCTGCGGCCTCCCCGCCCACTCTGTCGCGGCCCCGCCCTGACCCTTACGCGGCCACGCCGCCTGCACCTTACGCGGCCCCGCCCCCGGCCCTTACGCGGCCCCGCGCCGGCTCCTACGCGGCCCTTACGCGACCCCGCGCCGGCCCCTTACGCGGCCCTTACGCGGCCACGCCGCCGGCTCTCACGCGGCCCCGCAGCTGGCTTCTACGAGGCCCCGTCCCGGCTCCTACGCGGCCCCGTCCCCGGCTCCTACTCGGCCCCGCGCCTGCCCTTACGCGGCCTCGCCGCCGGCTCCATCGCGGCCCTGCCCCGGCTTCTACGCGGCCCCGTCCCCAGCCCCTTACGCGGCCCCGCCGCAGGCTCCTACGCGGCCCCGCCGCCGGCTCCTACTCGGCCCCGCGCCGGCCCTTACGCGGCCTCGCCGCCGGCTCCATCGCGGCCCCGCCCCTGCTCCGACGCGGCCCTGCCGCCGGCTTCTACTCGGCCCTGCGCCGGCCCCTACGCGGCTCGGCCGCCGACTCCAACGCGGCCCTGCGCCGGCTCCTACGCGGCCCTGCAGCCGGCTCCAACCCGGCCCTGCCCCGGCTCCTACGCCGGCCCTAACGCGGCCCCGCCCTGGTTCTCTCACGCGACCCCGCCGCCTCACCTGCAGCAGTCGGGCAGCAGGGCCGCCGAGCCGCCCAGGAGCCGAGCCGCCCTGCACCCGAGCCGCCAGTAGCCGAGCCGCCCTGCACCCGAGCCGCCCTGCAGCCGAGCCGCCCGGGAGCCGAGCCGCCCTGCACCCGAGCCGCCCTGCCGCCGAGCCGCCCGGGAGCCGAGCCGCTGTACACACGAGCCGCCCGGTCGCCGTTCTGCTTGTCTGTCGAGCTGCACGGCCTGCCCTGCCTGGTGAGCACAGTCCGTCTGTCACTGCGCCCTCTTTCCCTACTGCTTGCACTGCTTCACTGTAGTCGTCATGGCCACCCCTAGTGTCCTAGCCTTTGACGCCGAGGGTCGCGCCATTGATTTTGAGGTCTGGCTGGACGACCTGCAGCTTTTCTTACAGTGCGACAGAGCTGACAGCCTTTCTCTCTTTGACCTCACCTCTGGC